GGTTTCGGATGGCGTCAGCGTATCAGCAACGAGGCAATTAGAAAACGGGTATTTGGTTGTGCTGCAGGCACCTCAATCTGGGAAAACATCCAGCATCATCGACTGCGGTGGCTCGGTCATGCACTACGCAGGCAGAAACACCGTCTACCGAGACGAGTATTGTTCTCCGTGCCTCCTTCAGGATGGCGCAAACCGCGAGGTGGACAGTACATGACTTGTCAGAAAGGCGTCAAAGAGATCACGGAGAGTTTGGGTTTTGTTGGTGTTGTACGCCTCCTAGGATGGGTCCCCGTGACCCCATCTGTGCCTGGCTGGAGACGTTGCAAGAAATGGCGGCTAATCGATGTCAGTGACGTCCTTGCTGTCAGTTTCTTTCCAGATTGTCTGATTGAGCGGTTGGAGTTGTAGGCACCCCAGTATGCTTGACGTAGGCCAGCACTAAATCCCCTTCCTCACCCACTCCTTTTCTTCTCTTCACTGTAGGGCTCCTAATACAATTATATATATATATATACATATACATATACATATAACTAGACAAACCTTATGGTTGTACGGCAGTGAAGCATCAGTGCCAACACTGATGTTCCTGTCTTTGGTGATGATGATGATGTCTCTCTCACAAGTTTGGTTTCATTCACAGTGTTCATTCGGACCTATGTATTAGCACTGTCTCCCCACCATGAATTCCCTACATGAGCAAAACCAGTGAGTCTACTTAGTCTCAATATAAGTCATCCTTTTTGGGACGTAACTTGCCATTTGTCCCCCACTTGTCAACACTTTTCCATCTGCGTCTCCATTTTCGCTTTTTGGGGCCCAGGAGATTCACCTGGCCGTCCAATGTCGCACATGGCCAGCGGCGATTTTTTAATCGGCTTCATTGTTGACCTGTTGGTACCTTATTCTCCATTGTTCTAGTTTTCTGGTTTCCACAACTACGGTGAATTTCGCGTAATAAGAGTATCTCATTGGTTGTGCCTTCCTCTCGGTTGTTTTGTTTCCTGTCACTATCAGATTTCAACAACCCAGGCATTATCCATTTGGCATGTTCGTACAAATTATGCAACAAGCCTATTAATAATAATAATAATAATAATAATGTTTATTCCCAACTTGTGGGTGGCATGCCGTCTGGCATGATCATGCGTTTACAGTCAGAATGGGGCACTACTGAGGGATTTGCGGGAAGTGTTGACTGCGCGAAAGGGGGACAATGTCACAAACAGTGGGAGGTACTTGATTAAACAATAACAATAATTATATGTTTCACTTGCAACCTGTAGTGAACAATAGGCATGAGGTTCGAGTAATTCAGTGACTCCGTTGGCTGCCATGAACTAAAACTGCAAAACCATTGCTGGCCATGGGTATACCACATTATGGTCTGGCTTTTACCTAGATGGCTTGTCTCGTTTTTTATATCAGGGTTTCCGACAATACGCTCTTCCAAGCTTTCGACCGTCGGCAGTAGCAGCCTCAAATTTTCTGTGTAGTCGTCGTCCACCCCATATGATTTCCGCGTTACATGCACATCAATCTCCCTTGAACCAAAATTACTCGTGGTGCCACCTCAGCTTGATTCTATCTATTTTGAGCCTTTTGGATAACCCGAATCCTGCAGTCCGTAGAAATGCGCATCCGTTATCCGGTCTCTAACCATGACGTCCGCGCAAAGCTGCCCGGAAGCCCAGATGTGTCAGTTCAGTGGGGAAATTTTTTCACCTTGTAGGAGGCAGACCAACTGCAACATGATCGGATACGGCAAGCCGTGTCCAGTGTGATGGTTCACCCGCAACCATTTACCTCATATTCTGTACTTTCCCTTCCCTCCATCTCAAAACCCTTGTTGCGGGCATAAGCAATCCGCTTACGTAGCCCCTACCGTTTCTGAGACGCGTTTGTTCAAGCGCACCGATCTTTTCCATTGAGTTTAACTGACTTTATGCACCTTCATTTTGTCGCCCTCTACGCATATCCAGTGATTTTCTTTGCAGTTCACCCTCCCACCTGTGCGGCGGCATTGCTTTGCCCAAGGACATTTTACATTCGACTCTGCTCAACCAGCAACCCCAGTGAATCGATATAGTTTTAAAGTACACCACGCCTCCGAGGTGCAAGATCCATTTTATGTCTATCCTGAGTCCCTCCATCTTGAATATCCACCTTGTGCTTTTCATGACGCTGGCCACCGACTCGACTGTTAAACACGATGCACTCCCAAAAATGACCTTCAGTTTTAGGCCAGATAGACCAGACGGATAGCCGAAATACCCCTGCTTCTTCAGATTATTTATTCTAGATTCTCACATTCCACGTTTCGTTGACCTGTTCATTTTGCAGCGTCTTTTATACTTTCATGGAAAATTTCTGTTTTTTTCGGGTGGGACTCGATACCGGAAACTGTCTTCCTGCACTCAGTTGGCGAAATTCTGCATTACAGCTGTTACGGGTCCCACAAAACACCGATTTAGGATTTATGGAGCTCTCTCCTTGTAGAACAACTTAGAATCCATTTTCTGGAGGTGACAAATGTCATTGGGTAGCTCATGGCTACTTCGTGTTTGCGAATCTGGCTTCCCGGTCCGCTAACATATGAAGTGATAAATGAGTGAACCGTATTCACCATTCCGCGGGTAGCCTTAACTTTTACTTGATCAGCGAGGTGACTGTCACTTGCGAGTACTAGGTCTAGTAAGGATGGGAGCCAACTTGCTCCGTGTCTATTAGGTGCATCGATAAGCTGTTTCAGTGCGTTCTGTTGCGCGACTACAGTGAACGCAAATGAAGAATGCCCACTAAGCGCGACGTACCGGAAGTCCATTTGAGAGGGTTCGGAGGGTGGCAAATCCATCTAGAAGCTGGCGGAGAGGTGCTCAGGGGTTCGCATAGGAAAAAGACCGTTCCCAATAAAATTAAGGGGCAAAGGCTGGAGAGCACGAAAAGAGTTGACTGCATGCAACGGGATTTGAATTCACAGTGTGTCACGAAAAAGTAAAGAAGTGGTGTTGGAAAGTAACCCGAAGTGGGCAGGACCGCATTTAAGTATTGTGCGACTACAACTGGCTGAACGCGATTTGAGTCAGGCAGAAAACTTAAGCAGCGGTCTATTGAGACATCAACATTGGGGATGGTTGTGTGAATTAGGTTCCGCATTTAAGTATTGTGCGACTACAACTGGCTGAACGCGATTTGAGTCAGGCAGCAAACTTAAGCAGCGGTCTATTGAGACATCAACATTGGGGATGGTTGTGTGAATTAGGTTCCCGAACTCGGTCGGTCGGTCGGTCGGTCGAAGCAAGCCAACTGTTGAATACCGGAAAGTTTGCTGGAATGACTGAGGCAGTCCGTGGTCAGGCAGTCCAGCACCCTCCTCTTGCATCCAAAGGGGGCTCAAATAGGCGTTGATTCACCAAAGAGGTTAGCAGATGTAATAATTTCAAACGAGCTGTGATTCGACGACTTGAAAGGAGACTATGGGAAGCATTTGTCTGCGTCCTGCCTTGGATAATCCAGTATGTCCTGTTCGTCCTGTCACGTGTTAGTCTCCAGGATTCTCTGTTATTCGAAGATTTTCTGTGCATGGGTTTACGTTTCGTCCTTTTGCTCCCAAGGTGCAGTTTAGCCGTCAGCATATCTCTTCGAGATCCCGTCTGGCAGTTTTACTTTTCGATCTGATAAATCATCTACACTAGGTGTTTCGTCAGTCTCTTGACGAGGGCCATCTTCCCTCTGCTTAGAAGGAACCGATTGTCATGCCAATCTACAAAACCTGTTACCGACTGTAGCCTGGCAGCTTCACTAGCATGCCGTGCAAGGTGATGGAACGCATTTTGAAGCGAGCTATCCTAGATCATTTTACTTCCAGCAACCTGATATCTCCAGCCAAACACGGATTTCTCCCAAGCCGTTCTTGCGTAACAAACATGCTCGTGTTTATGGACAGCTTAACCCAAGCCAAGGACGAAGGACTCATATCGGATGCCATATTTTTCGACTTCTCAAAAGCATTTGATAGGGTCCCACACGTCCCGCTGCTCCACAAACTTGAGTCTTACGGGATTCAAGGGAAAATCCTTCGCTGGATCAAGGCGTTCCTATCAGACAGATCATTCCGAGTGAGAATAGGCTCAACCTTCTCCTCTCCAGCACCGGTTCCATTGGAAATCCTCAAGGCTCCGTCTTGGGACCACTCCTGTTTCTGATCTACGTCGACGACCCCCCAGATGTTCTTGCAAGTCCATGTCTACTGTTTGCGGACGACTTGAGATCCTGGAGTTCCAATGCCGGTGCCCTCCAAATGGATACAGACGGCGCCAAGCAGTGGTCGTTGGACTGGCATCTTCCATATGTCGTTTGGAGGGGATTCAGCGAACGCCTTTGTTATGCATGGTGAGAAAGGACCATAAAAAACATCATGAGGATAGATGCCAAAGGGATTTGGGTATCTGGGTCTCCTCAAACTTGTCCTTCTCACTACACCATGAGGAGTCGGCCCAAAAGGCATTCGCCATTTTACGGATGATCCGACGTACCTTCTCCCGTATTGCTCGCATGGACTTCCAAATACTCTATGAGGCCTACGTAAGACCGCTCCTGGAATACGCCAACTAAGTTGTCTACTCAAGACGCACGAAAGGCGTCATCCTCATCGGGTGTGTCCAGCGAGCCGCTAAGAGAATGGTTGTCGGCCTCAAATCCGTAGAATACGAAACGCGCTTCGCGATGCTTGATCTCCTTTCCCAGGAGTGACGTCGCCTCCGAGGGGACCTAATTCTTACTTATGCCGTGTTTTAACAAAGCTTGGCAAACAGGATTTTACCGTTGACCTAGCGAACACACGGCGGGACACGGTGAGAAAAATTTCAAGCTCAGAGTACACATATTCATTAGACAAAACTTTTCTAATTTTGGATAGTAGCTCTGTTGAATGACCTTTCTCCGACGATTGTTCACGCTCCTTCTAGAACTCAGTTTAAAGCACTATTAGACACTTATTTATGCGAATCCTTGCGCTGGCAAGCGTACTGCCCCGCGCTGAGAACATAAAGAGCAGTGCTACGCCCTTTTTTCACTTGTGCCTTTCAGATGAACGACAGCCACTGACCGAAAAGAACAAAATCGACCCGGGAAACTTGGGCAATAGCGTCGATCCTGTGTATCAATCCGTGAATCCGTGAATCCGTGAATCCGTGATCGAATCACCTGAAAGTACGGCTTTCGTTTTCCAAGTCAGCAGGCTCGTTTTCGCTGACGATTGCATCCTGAATATAGTAAAAAGGAAGGAATAACACAAGGGTGAGGATTTTCACCCAAGTTCCCTAAAAGGTTTCCAAAGGATTCTATTTCGGGTTTCATTTTGCAACAAGTGTACACCCACCAACTGCGACCATTGAGCTCGTTGGACTAACCAATGAAAGCGCTCGCTCGGCACTGTCTACAGTTTGTTCGTTCGATTTTGTTGCTGGTTCGGTCACCTCTTCCAATGTTCAGTTGCAAGCGGGTGGCCTTACAAAGCACGCGGCTTTGTAGGTCGGCTACAACTGTTGCAACTCCTCCAACTACAACCACCAAAAAAGGAGTTAATAAGCCTGGAGGAAAAGATATCGTCCTGATAGATGGCGTTAGGACCCCATTTGCTGTTAGCGGCACTCATTTCAAGAACATGATGTTGTATCAGCTGGCCCAAAGTGCTCTCCGTGGTCTCCTTCACCGGACAAATATCGAGAAGTCCTCCGTCGAGTATATCAGTTTCGGGACAGTCGTCCAGGTTGGTGTCTGGACTTCTACTTCTGATTGATTTAGGATGTCCAAACTGCAAATGTAGCCCGGGAGGCAGCGTTGGCAGCTGGGTTTCCCGAAAACATACCTGCACATTCTGTTACGATGGCCTGCATAAGTTCCAACAGGGCTATCACGTCTTGTATAGGTGACATCCTTGCTGGTACATGTGAAACGGCGATTGCTGGTGGTGCCGATTTCATGTCAGATGCCCCCATCAAACTCAGCAGGACAATGAGGTCTGTGATGCTTTCTTTCGGAAAAGTAAGTAACGCTTTAATTTTCAGCTACTTAAATTCGATACATGGGCGGTATTTTTTTTAGGAAGTAAGGAGTCACATTTCCCAGGTTCTGGCAATGTAACCCCCAACTGGGATGTGCCTCCATCATATCATTAGCCTACTGAACCATGTTCATCGCATCCATGTTAGGAGTCCCTCCGTCCATCTGGTAGGCAGCTATCCTTCAGCTCATCTATGATGGAGGATGAAGGCATGATCAGTTATCACCCAAACAGCCTTACCAACGTACCTCCGAACAAGTTATCGACAAGGTGATCTTCCCTTTTTTTTGAACGAATTGAATCCCGCCAAACCCCATCCCCGACCTATATGACTAGCCTAACCGTTTTTCTCTGATCTCTAATGTCACCGAATCCGAAACGGGTGCGCATCTTTTCCTTTCGGTCCCCCAAATACCCTTGAAGTAGTCCCATATAATTCATTTATTCGAGGCTGAAATTCACTGGGAGCTGCCTTACTGAGGGTTAAGAGTTCTCTTCATCAACGAAATCTCCCAAGCCAAGGCGTTCCAATATCCTCAGTGGTCTGTCTGAATATCCTTTCATTATTTCCACCCATCCCTGTCTTCCCTTCAAATGCCTCCACTGGTTGTTGTTGACAACAACGAAATTATAGCCAGCGACCCAAGAATTAATTCGATGATTAACACAGGATGCTTGTCCAAGCTTCTTGGACCGAACGGACTAGCGGTTGTTATTGCGAATACACTGCATCCGAGAGGTAAATTCAGAAGACTGGATGCAATATTGACTGCCAACGTTATGTTTGATAAAAGCTTGGCGGTTAGAAGAGTCGCAAAGAAAATATCCAAGGGAATCTTGAATTGTGCTCTAGAACTGACAGTGACAATGACTTGGGGTGTCATGCACGGGTCATCATCATCATCATCGACAGCATGACATCAGTGTTCAACAC